TCTTCATCATCAGGAAAACAAGATTTCCTGATGATAGAAACAGTATAGAACTCTGAAACGTCGGTACATTTCTACGAGACTTCTAGTAGATAGTCTTCATGCTTGCCGCCTTGAGAACCTGAAGTCTCACCAAGATGTATCAAATTTGTAACCAATTTTTGAATTTAAGTATTATTGCTTTAAACAAAGCATTAAAATCAACGACTGCCATAAAACGAAGTAATGTTAACCCATTTACGTATCTTGAAGCTTTGACATTACAGAACTGACGGATTTCAATTACTTAGACACCGCTTCAAATTTTAAGTTTGTGCAATAACGTAAGATAATAGCCTACAGGACTCAAAATACAGTTTACATTTAATACGGTCGTAGTACTAGCAGTTTAAGACTGTAACATCCGTATTGAAATTCAATTAATCTTTTATTGGCCTCTCTCTCTTGTTACAGTATCATCGGGTCCATAGGCCTAATTCTGCATAATTCTCACAGAGCCTATTTACAGGTTTCTCAGAGAACGAACGTCTTCCTGGAGAACACCAATGTGACTCCATTGAGTTCTTCTCTGAGATTCTGATAGTCGCTCGGCTACTCAGTAAATTTCACACCTTTTATGGAACACCAAGGCTTCTTTAAGGTTTCACAAAAGCCTGCCATCGGTCCTTACCCTGAGACAAACGAAACAAATAAGTGGATCCCTACTTAGGAGACGGTCTCCTGATATGAAGGGTAACTACTAATACACTGAATAAGCAGTCGTGGACAGCAGAAAAAGGGTGGTCCTTCAACATAGAGCTGGGTTAAGGCTAAGCAGCTGATCATTGCGTACTGTCGTCTGCACATGCGTGTCACACACTTAACGTAACTTAACCAAACGTAATCAAATTCAACTAAATCTACCCCTTAGTTGTTGATCATTGCGCATGCGCGTCAGTATATTAAATGAGTAATGGTGCATTTGCCTCCCTTTAATCTGCTATTTAATATGTTACTTTTAATTCTGTTCCTTAAGTTAATAAAGAAGTTATTTTATAAGTAGTAAAATAATGAAAAGTATGAAGATTTCTGTCTTCTGGGTTGTTGCGCTGTGTAGACTGGTCGATGTTTACCGACGTTTCAGAGGTCATACTGACTGCATCATCAGCGCGATGAGTATGAAGAATTCTGTCTTCTGGGTTGTTGCGCTGTGTAGTCTGGTCGATGTTTACCGACGTTTCAGAGGTCATACTGCCTCCATCATCAGGGCGATGAGTATGAAGATTTCTGTCTTCTGGGTTGTTGCGCTGTGTAGTCTGGTCGATGTTTACCAGCGTTTCAGAGGTCATACTGCCTCCATCATCAGGGCGATGAGTATGAAGATTTCTGTCTTCTGGGCTGTTGCGCTGTGTAGTCTGTGTGTACACAGCGCAACAACCCAGAAGACAGAAATCTTCATACTCACCATTGTGAAAACCTCAAATCTTACATAATGAAAAGTAATTACTTAAAATAAATAATTATATTTTCAAATGCATGATCACAGGTAAAGATAACCACGTATCGATTAGGTTCTGTTAAGTCTAATAAAATGAAGCAGATAATGAATTAGCGTCGTAAGTTCGTTCACATACAGAGCAATAAATGAAAAGCCTGAAATTCTCCTCTTTGTCTGTCCGGCAGCCATTTAACCTTATTATGGCGTAAGCTGCTGGCCAATGACATGTGACGGTTGGTATCCGTGGCTGGAGCTGTACGCAAATAAAGGTTTCATTTGATTTTAAAACTAGCAGATTGCCCGCAGTGTTGCTGAGGGGAAATTCGACAACTGTTTAAATGACTTTTCAAGCTTTCTTTCCCGAAAGTTTATCACAGTCCTGATTATCCGCTACGTGTTTTTTAATCCCACAGGAAATAAAATTACTGTCCATAAACCCAAGAATATTTGTCTTTTGCAGTGTTATCTACAGCAATTATTTTCAAAGATTTCCAGAAAACACAAATACTTCCTTTTCTTGTAGAAACATTTGTGCAACAGTATTTAATATTGTTGCAGTGATGAAATTTGTCTTAAAAATACAATAAAAATAAATAAATAAAATGCATTCTGACAGATTTCATGTTAAGTTATAAACTTTAACAGCCAATTATACATTAATTTTGCTTGTAAATAAAGTTACGCGGTTCTGCGTGGTGGGTGCTCTGTCCTTACAAGAACCGACTGGTACTTGTGAAAATCAATTTGCTTTGAGGTCCCCAGCAAGGAAACCACCACGATTTAACTTGTCGCATTCAGGTGTTACAATTACATTAAAATATAGAAGCTTTGTATCTTTTAATGGAATCGTCTATTTCAGAGTCATTAAGTAAACTGTTGAGTTGCCTGAAGAAGTACTTAGAATACAAAGTTATCTTCGGCAGTGAGACTTTCACACGTATTAAATATTCAAATGTATCAACACGTCCAGAATATATAGCAGATGTAAAATACAGGACCATTAAGGAAAACTTCGAATTCAATTTTATAGTTGGATTAGGAGAGGTTCGACAATGTAAACAGTAGTTATAGTTAGTAAATTAAGAGGTAAATCTATTCCTGTGCTTATAAATTACGCCATTAAAGAACGCGCAGAAGATAAGAACCATGCACTTTATAGAGGCGAATGGTATGATTTACTACCCTTTCCCACCAGGACAAAACCACAGACATCGATCGGAAATTAAGACGAACTGGAACAAGAAATATTATGGAAAATTCCCAAATCCAGTCCCAGGAATCCAACCCGGGACTGCATTTTACTAACTGATACATCGCTTCTCAAAATATCCGTTCAAACTCCACAAGCAGGTTTATGCATAATCTGGCTATAACTCAAGTTACGTCTTTCGATTCAACTCTTGAAAGACAAGTGGTAATTATATGTACCACCTGCTTTAACAATCATAACTCAAATTGTTCTTATAAACAAGCAGGCCCTCGTTCGTTTAATAAAATAAACAAGGCCTACAGATGATATCAGGCTACTGCAGTGTATTACAGGCCTACTATACCACCAGCTCTATCGAACGCCTAACACTCCTTAGTTTTCAGTACGTACGCCCCTAGTTTAAAATCGAACTCAGAAAAGGCTACCGTGATTGATATAAAAATTAATGAATTGAAAAAATGTGGAATTTATAACCATTTGAACGCCACAGTTTTATTTAGTTCGAAGTAAGAGATGTTAATTTAAGCAGTTTGATCGCGTAATATTTTATTACATAGAAAAATTAACAGCCTATAAGAACAAAGGAAATCATGCGCCAATTTTATGTTGTAAAACGTTTCAGATGGCAGAAGGGAAGGAGGGGCAACATATTTGGGTTTTGGAGTAATGCAGAATGGTGTATTCTGCGCACAGGGCGGACACTCAACTCATTTCATCCAGGTCTAAGAGTCACCTCCCGGGTTTTCCAATACGCACGCAAAGGAGGAATTCCTACACGCGTAGATCTCTGCTCACTCAAAATTCCACAGAGAGGCCTTCGTATGAGGACGACGAAAAATGCCACTAATAAATGGGAAAATAGTTCAAGACGCTCTGCACTGCATTTCGGGAGAACACAGACATTCTATATACGTCTCTTGTACCTTTGGCGACGTAAATCGTGATTACGTAATTTCTGTTTAATTCTTACAACGCGCGTAGTGTGTAATTGATTTATGCATTACAGTGATTTTACCATAGAGCCGAGTTCGACTCCTTATCGACATGGTGTTCACGCTGCTTTCAAAGTTCTTGTTTCGATAGAAAGTAATCGTGTCGAATCAATCAATAATCGTATCAGATTACTGATTAAGATTAAATCTCTGCTCATTGCACTATTACGTTTCATTGGGTTTCTGGTGAATGCAAAGTGCCTATGACATCACGCGGCGTCACAACGCAAAAGAACACAATCCAAATGTTCACGTCTATGAAAATCTCAGTTCTCGTATCATTATTTTTTATAAGTTTAAGCTTTATAGCTATGATCAGTTATTTCTGGCATTGCATTTAAAATGATATTCTATTAACCAAATGGGAATGTCATATTGCGTGAAATATACATTTTATATTTATACCCAATGAAGATTTTATGTTCTATCAGCACTATGCATTACATATTGGCCCACATATATTCTAAACAATTTCATTATTTCCTTATGTCGAAATCAATTTTCTAACATCGCACCTCGAATCACTAACTTGACTGAGAAAATGGTGAAGTGTGACATATTTATTATAATAAAAGTTAATCTTCGTTCATTTCAAGACATGATTTTAGTAGTTATGGTGAAACCAAATTCATAAGTATCTTGGTTGATTTAACGACCACTTTTAGCTGCTAATTTCGTAGCGTTGAATGGGAGATGACGATTACAATTAATAAAAGTGGGAATGGCGTGTAAGGAAGTGGTCGTGGCATATTATACGGCACTATTCCCATTTTGTCTAACTTGACGAAACAAACCCACAAATCTCTTAAGGATAATCCGTATCTGTCTCTCGATTCGAATTTTGGGTCTCGAGAATATGAAACATGATATGGCCTATTAACTACCCATGAAGTAGAGATGTTCAGTCTAGCGATGTCTTGACGACAGGCGGCCTCACCTTTGTCAGATGAAATTCAATCCGAATACGAGGCAGATACGCTAAGACTCGAGCATTGCAGAATGTTTACTCGATTATCGAACTTCCTGTGGACGAGGTAGTTTACTTTGGCTGCAAACGCCACTCAACCTCCGCCAAGATCGTTTCGGGAATCGATCCGATCTCCAGAGAATGACAGGACAGAAGAAATCACATTGCTCTTTGGGTGAATGTCTCAACGACGCCCTGTGTCTGGGCAGCTAATGCGTGCCCTGTTCCCGTCAACTACGGCGCACAATGTGAATCACATTTCCTCTTCCTCTCAGAAGAGTGCTTATAGTCTCGCGTTAGCCCTGACAACGACGCCGTCACAGAGGTTACGTGAGGTGCATACTTGTGCCGCGGTAAGCGTACGAGAGACAAAACGAGAGGGACAAGGCGGCAGCGAGTTCAGTCGCGCTCCAGCGTTCGCGGAGGGTACACGCCGGTCGACCAGACGCCCGAAGACAACCTCGTCGCGCGACGCCAGTGCTGAGGTGACCGGCGGAAGAGATTAACAGCACTTTCAAACCCCTGTAATCGAGTGCCACTACTGAAGGCTATTCAATCTTTCCATTGCGTTTTTAATCAGTTTCAGAAACGTACTTGATGTTTGCCCCTTTGAAAGAGGGTAAATATGTATCTAAACGTTTTGTAATACGTAATTAAATTAATCTGTGTAATTAGTGACTAGAAAAAAATTACAAACAAACTGGTGGCAGCTAAAAACTTACGGAAATCACAACGTTAAAAATATTTTATGTCATTAGTATGAGATATTTGATTTCGACCACGCAAACACCTTTAATAGTGCGTAAATTATGAGGCTGACTTGTCCAGATTCTAGAATCTTTCAATTAAAGTTACGTTGCAAGAGTCTGAATGAGGTAGCCATTAATGTGGCTGTGAAATAATGTGCGGAAAAAACTTAAGAGAAATTTTATGTAATCCCGTTTCAAACTGTAAATTAAAACGAAGTTGGTTTTGAATATATTAACAGAAAGGTCAGTAATTGAGTGAAAAAAGTGTTAAAGCAATATTAGCTCTAAAAATTTCATCCATAGTCTTTGTACTGTATCAACTTTCATTTTATAGAAGTATATAAACAGAAAACCAGCTTTGCTTATTGAAGACTCCTTTGTCCCGGAGAACGGCTAGTTCAGACACTTTAGGAAACTTTCGTAATGAATAAAATATTGAAAGTTACCCCACTGACGTCATACTATTAGGAGCAGTCAGTGCTACCAAGCAATTCGTCACAGTAGCAGATTCTGAACTTCTGGAATCTTAAGGTGTCGCGTCAAAGAACAACCCTCCATGTCAATACCGCCTTAACTACGTATTGTCTGTGGGGAGCTCTAAATGTCGAGATTTATCGATAACCTCGTAATCTATTCTAATCGCGGTAGAACGCTATCTCATGGTAATAACGAGCAACAAACACGGGAATGAAATCTGTAACTATTGTTCTGCCTGTTGAAATGACTACATCTGAAACACGTGTTTTGACACGTGACTCATTTGAAAAGTTAATGATGGTGATTTATTTTCACTTCTCTTTTTGTGACGCAAATGGATTTATAATAAACGACATGGGAATATCGTGCGATTAATTTGTTTAGATTTTCTTAGAATCATCAAACAAATTGAGAAAACGGGGAGGTGAGTAGAGTAACATTTGTTAACGATGTTAAGGCGCACATCTCACGCATATTGTCTTTTAGAAGGCAGCAAATAATTTCAAAATTGACTGACATTTGACGACAATCTGAAAATGTGTTAATAATGAACGAAGAACTGAGAGAGAAGTTGAAACGTTGGATAGGATGTGAAGAACCAGACACTTCTTATGTGGGTTATATAGGAAATAAATTTCCGTTGGAAATGAATGACAGCGGAGCTCTTGGGTTCTCCGAACGTGAGGTGAGTCACGGATACCAATAAGTTAAGTACCGGAAGGCAAGCTCTTCGTATCAAACGGGAGAGCGTGTTGGAATGGAGTTGGCGTTGTACCGCTCAGCACAGCAGCAGGAGGGATGCAGCGGGGCAGTTGTGCAGAACAATCCCGCCGAAGACACCAACACCACGTCTTCGATGACCACCATGACCTCCTGTCTTCAACAGCAGAACATTGTCCTTGACGACGGCTATGGGTCTTCAAATAGTTCCCCACACAGCTCAGGTATTGTGCGCCTTTTAATATATATACATTTATCGTCTCTCTCAGAGTAGTATAAATTATATGGCAGTCACGTGTTTTACGTCCAACAGTGTGACATAAATAACGTCAATGTCTTCATTTATACATTTAAAGCACAATGGAACCTATGAGTACCATTTGTTTTAATAATCAGCTACTAATAATTTTGCCCAGAAAGTATAAAAATTGGTTTAGTATGATTCTCAGAATAAACATTGATTATCCTACATTCCTAAACAGCATTAACTAATTTATGTTTGTCATGGAGACTCTTGTGTGATATCTTCGTTTCTCACGACGGTGAAGATGTCTGTGTTGGTCTTCTTGGTTATAACGTCGTATGCAATTGTAGGTGGATACTAACGTTTCGGAGAAACATTATTCCTCCATCACCATCTTCAGGGCACTGTTTTCTTTGATGCACGAACTGAATTTTTTTTAAAAAAAATATAGATGAACGTTATCCTCAAGAGGGTTTAATGGTTTCTGTGTGTACGATAATGTTCTTTAAAGCGATAATATCGTCCCATGTCTTGAAATATTTTATGAAATTCTCTTTTCTGTTGATTGTGGCACTCGCCTCATGTCCAGTAATTATGTTAGCGAATGTGGTTTTTGCAAATGAGATGGTAAGGTGATCATGAACGTTGTGTAAGCTGAGGACAGAAGGGTGGAAGTCGTCGACTACTTCAAAGTACTATCACAGCATTCGCCTGTATAAATCTGGAAGAATCAGGAAAAGCATTAATCACGACAGTTGACAACCAAACCAGATACCTCTCAAATACTGAACTAATTTCACGGATCACAGTTCTTTAGAAATGAATAATTGCTCAGCTAGCCATGAAATTCCCTACCTTTTATGAAAGCCCAAATTTCATTACCGTGCTCACAACAGTACAAACCAATTAATTTTCTTAACATATATTTTAATATTATCTTCCCATTTACTCCTAGGTCTTCCAGTATTGAATAAACCTACCGCCTAATCACGTTCTCAGTTTAATCGTAAATTCGACCAGATTACTTTGTTCTTGAATACGGCCAGAGAGTGTTCCTGCTTCCTTAAGATCCACGTTTCATCATAGTATCATACGTTACACTGTAATGTCATTATGTTCCTACGTTAACACAGAATAAATAATCTATAAAGTGTCAACAGAATTTAGGACCCGGCATGAAATTTGCATGCCATTAAGCCTACGTGGGCTGTAGTAGCTTGGAGAAAAGATGGCCCGAATTTACATATTGAATACGTCTGAAGATTTTCCAGTTACTCGACGTCTAATAATAAATCCGAAATGGAATTTAATTTTTAAGGTTAGAGAAGCGATATCATCTATAAAAGTCCTTAATTTTGAATTTCCTGTCGTAGGCAAACATGTTGAAGATTAAATTATGCTAAGCCACATTCTATTTACAAATCACAGGATTTACGAACTGAATATATTAATTAACGTTTAAATAATTTACACAAACAATTTAACATAACATATAATTATAACACTAATTTATTTGAGTACAAAATTTTATTATGGAAGCCTGACTAAAATAAATCACTCGGAAGACACTGGGAAGATAATATTAAAATGTACCTCACAGAAATAGTATGTGGTAGTGTAGGCTGGATTCATTTGACTCCTGGACAGGGGCCGGTGAAGACTATGGTAAACACGGTAATGAGCCTTCGGATTTTGTAAACTGCGAGGATTTGTCTAGCTGAGAAACCATCAGCTTCTGAATGACTCAACTCCACAGAGTTACTCTGCAGTTCCATTTTATACAAAGTTCTCTTAGGAGTGTTACGTCACAAAAGCGTTGCACTAACAGCGCACTGGTTGGGTTAAGGGTAAAGGATATTGGTTATTAAATTAGTAGTAGATTTCTTTCGGACAAATCCCAACCGCCGAGGATTATTTTACTCTATCTATAGATTGAAGACATTACATGTTACGTGGAGCTCATCCGATAAAATAATTTATCACTGGACTTATTCCGCGTTATGTAATCTCAGAAGTTTATATAAGCCATAACGTAACAGAACAAAATAAAAATAACTATAAGAGACAATGTGCAGAATAAATTCTTCTCACCAAAGCTATAGGTGAGTTCAGTTTGCATGCTGTGTTTCTGTTGGAAGTGACACGGTTTCTGCATTAAAATATGACCGAAGAACGTCCCACAGTACAGACATTATAATGATTATTTATATAAAACAACTTTAAAGTGGAACGGCACTTATTAATCTGTAGGAACCCACACACAAATTAACTTCGTTAACTTCATTTTCGTTTCGCAGTCATAATGATCTACGCTCAGTTGTTTTGGGATGAAAGGAAGTTTTAAATATAACTGAAAAGTTATATTTGTAGCTTGTTAAATAAACTTATAAAAAAGTTTATCATCGTCATTATATTTATACATTCAAGGTTCAGTCCATCTGGCAAATACGAATGACAACCGCTTTTCAGCCATCTTATTTATACACTGAAATATCAACTATCAGAGGTATCCGGTCTGTAGTTCTCGTGATAAAATTGTATTACAAAAAAGGGGCTATAAATTTAATTTAATTTTCTAGAGTAAACGAAGAAAACAACTGAGACCTCAGTACAGACGTTCCAGGCAGGAATTCGTATCTGGTAACTTGGCAATGTGAGTTGAACGCATTATAGTCATGCGGCACACTCTAAAAATTTGTCACAAAATTATGTACGATCCCATAATGGTAATTCTACGGCTTGCTTAAGATTCTTTAGAAACTGAATCTGGTTGAGCTACACTGTATATTTTCACCTCGAGATGAACGCGATTTCATAGAAGAACAGCGTCAACTAACTGACTAACTAACTAGATGGCTTACCGAACCCGAAGGTTCATCACCGACTTAACCAAAGCCCTCCACTGGACCCTGTCCTGGGCCAACAAAATCCAGTCTCCTTCAACTCCTATCTCCCATAGATCCCGCCTGAGATTATCCTCCCATCTACGTCTAGGTCTCCCCAGCGGTCTCTTCCCCTCAGGCTTCCCAACCAATACCCGGTGTACATCTCTTGTCCCATCCATGCGCGCTACATTCCCCTCCCATCTCATTCTTCTCGACTTAATCACCCTTACAATATTGGGGGAGGAGTGCAGATTTTTAAGTTCGTCATTATGTAATTTTCTCCATCGTCTTCTCTCCTAGGCCCAAATATCCTCCTCAACACCCTATTCTCAAAAATTCATCATCTTCGACACTGCCAAGGTTTTGGAGAGAGGAATGGAAACGAATGAAACCCCGAGAAATCAATTGAGGTCAGTTTATTCACTATGAATCCCACAGGAATCAATCGGTAAGCAAATCCTGCCGTGGGGCGTCCGCGTTCTGTCCACAAGATGGCTGAGGGGCCTTTCATTCGGTTACCAGCACCACAGGCACACCGTCCAATGCCCGTATCTCCCCTTCTCGTCAATTAGCTCTGACTGATCGATCCCTCTTCTCAGAAAACACAAACACTTCAGTCCTGAATATGGAGGCAGCATATTCCTCCGAAACGTCGGCATTCATCTACAAGTCCACTGGCGTCACAAACCACAAGAACATCGACAAAACAGTGGCAGAAGTGATGACAACGATGCCACAGATGCTCTAAATACGGGCTTCGTAAGAACATACTCGTACCTTTAGACACGCGAATCGGTCTCTGGACCGGAATTCAAAGCGGACATCCCTCTGAATACGAAGTACGAGTGACAAACATTAGTCAGCGATATTTAATCAGATGACAGTTGCTGGTCTGTGGTTGGTAGCTGTGTGGCCTCATTCGATATCCGATATGATTCTGAGGTCGCGAATCTGCCTAACCCACATTCAGGTCAGACACGGATCAGAACCCAAGCTACGTTTCTGTGGACATTTCATAGTTCAGGTCCTTTGAAAGAGTGATGAGATTGTCACCCTGGCTTCTAATAACACCCTAAATATATTTTGTGCTAACTAGTGCAAAGATCCATGTTTGTGGCAGCTAAGCTCTAAACAAGTGACCGCCTAATGTAATTGAATTTCAATGTAATCAAATTTTATACATTTTAATCGCTGACTGTTGAAAGTAAATGCATCATGTGATCACATGTCCCTCCGTGTTTTCCCATGCTTTATTTCCAAAACTACTTAATGAGTTTCTATGGATTTTGGCGTGAAAGGTGAAAAATGACGGATGAAACTTAGTTTGGTTGACATCGATTCAGTACTATCATCTCTTAATATTGATAACAAATAGAACTTGATCACTTGATGGAGAAACAATTCATTGTATGAAAAATGAATATGTTACAAACAGCTTACATGAAGGCTGATGTTTCGCATCAACAGGTGGCATCAACAATGAGAAGTCACACGTTTTAGAATTCGACTGCACGTGTAGCAAGTATGATTTGGATTCAGTTTTGTCTGCAGTAGCAGTGTTTTACTCAGTTGTAAAAATTGACGATATAGGCCTACTTTTAACATAGAACAAACTTCTCTGTTTCATCGATATCGACTCAAATCGACGTGGAAATTTACAAAATTCTTCAACAATTAATATAGACGAAATAAAATGTAAAGCACAGGTTTCTGTGTAGGTAAGAGATTTCAAAAAGGAGGGAAATACTTTAATGATGACGAATGATCCAGTCGTCCGACATAAGAACTTCGCAAAATTTGAAAGAATTTACAAAAATGTTGAGAAATGATTGTGATCTGACTGTTTGGAGTTTATCAGATGAAATTAACATGAAGACAGAAAGTACTAGATTCGAATACACCGAAATTTTTAAGATGAAGGAGGTGTGATAGAAGATATCAGAAGTCGTACCCATGAAAACAAGTAATGCTGAAAGAAATGTGTCCCGAATTTCAGAAAGGATTTAAGGAAAACCCGAACCTTTAAAAGAAAATAATTATAACCGGCTGCGGAAACTGGGCTTTCTAGTATGACCCAGAAACAAAACGTAAAGTA